ATATACAACATAACTGAAGTCATGAGAAAAATCACGAGTTCTTCTGTTATTGAAATAATACCTTCTCTGTGGAATTATGAGAAAAACACACAATGAGTGGACATAGTAATTTAATTTTATCTAAAATAAATGATATTCATTTACAGAATAAAATAAATTACTCATGTACAACTCATTGAGGGACAATTAGATTTTTACAAAAGTTGAAATCAACAAATTAACTCACATCCGGGTTAATTATTATTTCGACAACTTATCAGGAACAACAAACTCTTCAGGCTTAAGGTCTTGAAGAAACCATCGTTTGCGGTACTTTTCTTAAGGGTTTGGGCAAAGATTAAGAAGTAGGGAGAAAAGAGTGTTAAGGAAGGGTAATTAAGTTTTATCTTATCAATGTGAGGAGCCAGGAGTGGCCACGAGTCTCACTCGACACAGCCGGACACAGATGTGCTTTCATCAAACAGTTCAGCCTTTACCTTCAGCAGACTTCAAAGTCAGGTTAGGCGTGGAGCAGGTCTCACCCGGGTCAGCAAGAGCTCCGCTCAGGTTCACTTACTGTCCAGTCAGACTTCAAGAGGTTGGATTATTCCAGCATCTTGTGGTCTTTCAGCTCGTTCGAACCGAGAGTCACTGCCAACTGGTTTCTCTTTCAGACTAGTACTTACTTTTGAAAATACTTAAGTATTAAAAAGTACATGCATTTAAAAATGCTCAGGTATTCAAAAGTACACATTAAAATGTCTAATTTCAGTACATTGCTGTATTTTTTTCAGCTGGCTCAGGTATTCAAAAGTACACATTAAAATGTCTAATTTCAGTACATTGCTGTATTTTTTTCAGCTGGCATAACTATTTATGATCAATAAAGAGCTGCAGGCAGACGCTGCTCTGAATGGGGGCATGAACAGAACCAGGCTGTGATCTGARCCAAGCAGAGGACAAAAGGCCCGAGACCTGAGCAACAAACAGCAGGTAAGACGACAGAGGAAGGCCTCAGGTGTGGGACGAGTTCAAGGAGGACTCAGAAACACAATCTGGAAAATCAAACAGGAAGTCCTGCAGGAAGCAGCAACAGCTTATTTTTACTTTCACTGAAYTAAAATTAAATTTCTGAAAGTCGAGAGGATCTGTTCTTTACTGATTAATCCCAGGAACATTCACTGGATGAACAAACCCAGCAGAATCCTGGTCCTTCTGCATTAAAGGCCTGAAGTCGACGTTGGTTGAACCAAAGTCCAGTAGATGAAACCTCCACACAAACCAGAGATCTCCACCTCCATGGTTGGGACTAAACCCTGACCAGGATGATTGTTTAACAGTGATCGAGTCAAAGAGGCTGAAGTTGTGTCAGCTTTAGTTCAGATAAAAAKACTTTGTMTCTAATCTGTGACCAGATGTTTGACATCAGAAGGAAAAGTAAGTAAAGTTTTATTTATAAAGCGCCTTTCACAGAAATATATCCACAAGGTGCTGTACAATCATTAACAGTATGAAAATGGTGGAAAGAATAAAATGAAACAGAAAAACATAATTAAACATAAGCAACGAAAAACTGAAAACGTCAAATCAAGAAGATTTCTAAAATTGTAAATCAAACACAAGGTCAATGCAGGGCAAAATATACAATACTACACAAAACAATGAATGCGGGAGAGAAAAATATGGCGTAAGTTCAATAAAGACAATAAAATAAATAAATTTCAATTCTTTAATAAAAAAATATGATTTTAAACCTGCAGCTGGTCATCGCCACACAGAAACTCTTTAATTCATCACAAACTCAACAAGCTTCGAAGAAAAAGAGTTGATTTTTTTAATAAATGTTTTTATGAAATAAACTAACAGAAGCACCAAAATACAACAGTAATAAATATGAATACAGATTATTATTGAAGTATAATTTGTAGTTACAGTTTTGTTTACACCTGAAATGTTTTTAGTTAAGAGTCAGCCGAGTCTCTTTGGGTTTCTGATGGTCCAGTTTAGCGGAGATTGTCGGAGGAGATCCTGATGGTCCTGGAAGATGCTGTCCCTGAGAAAAACACACAAACAGAAAACAATCTGAATCAAACAGTTTCTGCAGATTAAAACCTTCAGTCGAGTTTAAATCAGGTCCAACAACTTCAGAGACCAGAACATCATAAAAACAGACTTTTACTCAAATGAGAAAAATCAAACAGAAAAACTGAAACTGAATAAAACAGATGAAACTATGAGATTAAATCAGAATTTTAACCTGTCAGTAACTGCAGGGTTAAAAACAGGAAGTTACAGGTGATCAGGTGAGGAGCGATGATTGCTTTAAAGTTCAGAACAAGCAGCCAATCAGAGGCAGGGCTGGGCGAGTGGCGGGAAACTGAGAACCTGTCAGGAAAGAGTTAAACTTTTTGTAATCTGAGTCCTGAACAGGTCAGATAAGATGGACTAACATCCTGGTTTTTAGCCTCTGAGGTTTCCTTGTTCCACCTGTTGTTGCTCAGAGGCTCCGCCCACTCTGTGTCAGACACAGGTGTGCAACATAAATCCTATTAACCCTGCTTCTCGTCTGTCCCACAGAAACAAGTTCTGGTTCCCTAGCAGGGAACCAGAACTTGTTGAGAACCTGTTAGACCTCATTCGTCATCTTGAATGTGAACAAAACAAAGGAGATGATTGTAGATCACGACATGCTGTGTTTCCAACTACATGACAACAATATAAAAACTTTACAGTTTATGACTGGACTGAGGTTCTTTGATCATTTTTAAGCTGATCTATTTTCTTGTTTGAAGTTAAATGATTTTCAGTCCCGGGGTTCAGTTTCATCATCGTTCAGTTTAAACATTAAAAACTCAAACTAAAATAAAAACCTAACAGCGTGTTCAGACGCTCCTTACATCCAGGAAACACAACAGASTCATATTTCTGTGGATTCAGGTCAGATTCGTGACTTTGTGAGTTAAAACTGTCGGCTGAAAAACTTTGTGTGGCTGCTGCACATTCTCACAGCAGGTGAAAAGTGTGTGTAAATAAATACACACTTTCACGCAAGATACATCCCAATGTGGGCGTAGAACCTGGCACACACAAGTTTTTTATGCGTACGCACCGTTTATACACACGGCTCCTGGTTCTTGTTGGATCCAAACACAGGAGAGGTTGTTTAGTGGAGATCTGGTAACTGCTATCAAAGAGAGTTGGCTCCAAACTGATGAAGAAAACTGTTTGTCACTCATCAAGTCCATGCCTCAGAGACTGCAGCTGTTATAAAAGACAAAGGTGGTGCAACTAAATACTAGTGATGTCTTTTGAATGGTCTTTTGTTTACCTGTTTTTCATGATTCCATACTTTTTTCCTCAGAATTGAGTGATTCCATATTTCTTCTTGGTCAATAAAAGAAACATTCACTGACTTCCACAATGTTTTCTCTTCATTTCTTTGAGTGTTCCTGAAAGCCAACAAGTTGACCTTTGGAATGACCTTATTATTGTATCATGTTTTAGATCTGAGTTTGTTTTACTGAGTGAAATGTCTGAATGAGTGCTCATCCAAGACTGCTGATTCCATWCMTTTTGKCAGGGGTTGTATAATTCTGTACAATTAAATTATTTTTAGTTTTTTTCCTCCCTGAGGATCAGAACTTGCCCTTCTTCTACTTACTGGTCTTCGTGGCGTTGGCTTTGATGATCCTCTGAGACTGGCGCTTCAGATCCTCACTGGAGACAACTTCGGGATCGTCCTTCTCGCTCTTGTCCTCTGTGAGACAAACAGCCACACAGCGACAGGCTCGGGTGGTTTTCGTTTGAGTTTGTCATTTAAACGCCTTCAAACTCACCGTCATCGGTGGATTCCGGCGTACGGTCCTGGAGAAGTTTCACCCTGGTGTTGGACTCGGGAAGGTTCTTCTCGAGCCAGTCGTAGAACTGTTCACAGAAACAGACACGGCACAATCAACACACATACTGTGTCGCTTATATTCACAACAGCCTGCATTTATAAAGAAACACGTTCAAGAACCAACATCCTGGTCTTTTTCTCACCTCGTCGTTCTTCATCTCCTTCATCAGAGTGTCCAGGTCCTGACCTCCCAACCCTGTTTTTAACACCTGGATCTTCAGCTCACACTGCTTCAGAAGCTCCGGAACGAACTCATCAGGATCCGGACTCACTTCAAACACGCCGTCCTCGTTCTGAGAGGGGAAGGATGACTCAATAAATACAACTCCATGGAAGGTGTGTGTGTGTGTGTGTGTGTGTGTGTGTGTGTGTGTGTGTGTTACCAGTGTTATGTGCTGTAGTCTCTCTGCCAGGTGCTTCACTCCAGCTCTGACAGTACTGAGGGTTTTTCTGTACAGGTCCAGGCGCTCTTTGGCTGCATTGCACCTCTGCTGAGTAGCCTTCAGCTGATGCTCGCGCTCCTCCAGCTGCTGCTGTTCTCTAATRAATAAATAGTTTAAAAAGAGAGACKTTTTAACACCTTCAYCTGTSCTTAAGATAAACTGCCGAGGCTCTGAACCCGAGAGAAACAAAAAATTATTTTTTATGACTGTGAGCCTCACTGTGAGCGTTCAGCAGCCCCAGAATTTTTCATGTCCTCGAGTTCCTGTTTCAGAAGCTCCTTCTGCTCCTTTAGCTGCTGCAGSACCTCCTCCTTCTCCCTCTTCTGCTGTTGAAGATTTTGGTGCATCTTCTTCAGGGAGATAAAGCGTTGGACAATCTCCTACAACACAGAAAACAAACATGTGACCCTCACATTAAACTAAGGCTTGAGTCACAAAGTGGTGTGTGGACAAATTGCATTTGGTCAAAATACATTAAATAAACACTTTATCTACAGGTCGTTTACATGAAATGTCTGAAAATATAATCGTGAATAGTTTTTTGAAACACTTTTTTGAGCAGTAGCTACAAATAAATATGATTTTGAACAAAAAAACTTAACATTTTTGTAATTTTCCCTGAAAATTAGCAAAGCTTGCTTTCTTTCCAGCTGGTAAATCTTAATATCCAAATATTGTTTGAAATTTCCTCTTTGTTTAAAAAAAATCCTCATTAGAAAAACTTAGAATTAGGATTAAAACCAAATATCAATGGATTATCCTGATTAGGAAGAGAAATCCAGTCAAATCTCTGGAAACACTCATGATATCAGGATGATCCAGGGATCAAAACGTAGCTTAAAACGTTAGATCCAACTTGACTTAAAGACCGTGTAAAGTAAAATGTAACATTTTCTTTATTAAAAATGATAAATGTCAAATGTATTGTTGTAAATGAGTACAAATTCTCTCAACTGTAGATATTTGATGTTTTATGTGAACTGTACATTCAGATTATTATTT